TACTATAATTATAATAAGGAACTCCAAAGTATGTATTGGTAATTATCTAGGGGCATTTTTCCAAGCTACGAGACGCTACATGAACCATCTGAGGGCTCAGGACTGCACCTGGGAGCTCAAGCTGTCCCGTCCGACAAGTTTGTTTGCATCATTATCATTATCATTATCATTATCATTAGTAATATTACTAATATCATTATCATTATCATTATTGCCATTACTATCCCTCCAGTTCGGAGTCTTCTTCTACGCAGAGCGGATGGGAGCAAGAGCTGGTAGCCGTTGGTACTTGCTGAACAAGTGGGCTGACGGGCATACTAGCTGATACCCAACATGAAAGCAACATTTCGTGCAGATCGTAGTTGTTCGCTGTTTTGTGTTTGCTAATCTGCTTATCAGGATTACCAGAAAGAGCACACCCTCAGTCAGCAAGACTGTCGGCAAAGTCCCAAATTCACACATAGGCATCGTAATTACAGCGAAATCATGTTTCTGCATTGTGTCTTGCTCTGCACACCTGCTGTTCATCCATCTACGAGACTCAAAACCCTTCATACTCAGCACTAAACCCTAAAGTTCCTCGCCCAAAGCCCCAAAAGCCTCAATTCTTGGCGAAACAAAACCTAAACCGTGTCAACCCGCAGCCCTAAACCCCGCAGACCCCCTCCCCCCTTCCCTCCCGGGTGTTAACCTCGGCGCGGTCTGCCAGCGGATGCTCCGCCTAACCGACATCAATTTCGGGTTTGGGGTTTAGGGGTTTTGGGTTTTGGGTTTTGGGGCTTTGGGGGTTTAGGGGGTTTGGGGGTTTAGGGGGTTTAGGGGGTCTAGGGGTGTAGGAGTTTAGGCCGGAGGGGGTCAAATACAAGTTGCCCAGGATACTCAGACTTGAGCTTCTGGGGAGTTACGCACTTCAGAGTGAGGTTTCTGGTCAAGAATTCTCCTACGAAGGTCTTAGTTCTGCAGCGCTCTGCATCTGAATTGTAAGACTGATGGTACTGCAGCCGCGCTGCTCTTACAGACCCACCTGATTGGCATAGGGAAAGCGTAGAGGCATTTCAACATGCTTCCTCACTGCCCGATTTTGGCACCATCTCAACACCAAAGGTTTCCTGTACACCCTAAAGCCCTCAACCCCAACTCCTTGTGCTGCTAGGCCTGAGGGGTCGTCGAATTCGTAGTGGCCTGAGCCTCAGAGAAAAAGATGAGCGATGTCGACAACAACTGCCCTGCTACGACTTCCCACTGCTGCCAGCGTCATGTTACTATGACGACGATGTAGAGGCATGCGACGATTCTCCAACACTGCTGGCCGTTTGGCAGAACTGTTCATGCTATTGTGAAGCCCAGGTAAACGACTATCAAATCAGGCTCTTCGGACAGCCACTGATACTTTGCAGTCGGTCTTGTGGCGGGTCGCGCTCTGCTGATTTCCGGTACTCTGCGCCCGAGGATCCAGCCGGGCCGGCTTCAGCGCTCGGCTGCCACACCTGAAGGTCCCAAGCGGGACGGAGGCTTGACATGTTCAGAATCCACCGAAAGGTTGAGAATCCGCAGGGAACTGTAACAAAAGAAGCCTATGAGGCCACGCACCTGCGCTTTCAGACTTTTTGTGGAGGGGGCACACTACTTTCACCTGCGTCAAGACTTTTTTGGGCGGCACCAAGCCCTAAACCCTTCAAGGCTTCCTCGGATTCAAGCGTAAAAGGCCAAGGCTCACAGGGTCCCTGCCTGTGCCAGCTGCAAGTAGTAGCTCGCAGTGGAGCCGTCCACCGGCTGTACCGGGAGGCCCCAATCACCTGGAGTGGGTTTGAGGGTTTGAGGGTTTGAGTGATGAGGGCTCTACGCTTCAGGCTTTGACTGTCCCCGCATCAAGGGCCAAAGTCCACGATTCTGGAACTGAGCACCTGTACGAATTCCTTTTCGGCCCTCCCCGGCGGAGCACTTTTTTTTCCTAACGTTAGCGGTCCCCGGTCTCCCTTGCTGAGGTTGGCGGTCCCGTCTTGGTTAGAACTTGTTAGAACTACTATGCACTGCAGCATTTCCCATTGTTTTGCATCTAGCTATTAGGCAACTGCAATTAGCAGGGTGTCCTTTTGGGCTAGGGCTGAGGGTGGGGTTGGAATGGTCAGCTCCGCCAATTAGATTTTTTCAAATC